AGCAGCAATCAAAGCAGCAGGAAGACACACTCCTGCTGCAGCACGAGGGGTCTGCAGCAGCAGCGCTTTGTAGCAGGGCCCTGCGGCCTGCAGCAGCCGCCCCTGGCCCAGCCCTGTCCACAGCGCCTGCAGCAGCTCTTGCTGCCGCTGCCGCTGCTGCTGCTGCTGCTGCTGCTGCTGCTGCTGCTGCTGCCGTTGGGCGGACGTGGGGGACAGCAGGTGCGCTGCAGCAGACGACGCCCCAGAGAAACCCTCGGGGCTTTCTCCCGCTGCTGCTGCTGCCCCTTCCCCCGCTGCTGCTGCTGCTGCTGCTGCTGCTGCTGCTGGTGATCGCAGAGCTGCAGGGTGGCGCAGCAAAGGCTGCAGCAGACTGCGCGCGGAGTTCTCCGAGGGAGACACTCTGCTGCTACGTTGCTGCTGCTGCTGCAGCTGCTGGGCAGCAGCCGCCCCTGGCCCAGCCCTGTCCACAGCGCCTGCAGCAGCTCTTGCTGCCGCTGCCGCTGCTGCTGCTGCTGCTGCTGCTGCTGCTGCTGCTGCTGCCGTTGGGCGGACGTGGGGGACAGCAGGTGCGCTGCAGCAGACGACGCCCCAGAGAAACCCTCGGGGCTTTCTCCCGCTGCTGCTGCTGCCCCTTCCCCCGCTGCTGCTGCTGCTGCTGCTGCTGCTGCTGCTGGTGATCGCAGAGCTGCAGGGTGGCGCAGCAAAGGCTGCAGCAGACTGCGCGCGGAGTTCTCCGAGGGAGACACTCTGCTGCTACGTTGCTGCTGCTGCTGCAGCTGCTGCAGCTGCTGCTGCCGCTGCTGCTGGAAAGAAGGCAACGTGCGGTGTGCTGCTAGAACTTCTGCTGCTGCTGCTTCTGCTGCTGCAGTTTCCGGTGCTGGGGTCGCCTCTGCGCTGGTGTGTGCACTCAGCAGGTTCCTGCTGCTGCTGCTGCTGCTGCTGCTGATGCTGCTGCAGCTGCACCGCCTGCGGCAGGCCGACGCCAAGACGCCCGTTCCTCCAACTCGGTCTCCCCCTGCTGCTGCTGCTGCTGCTGCTGCTGCTGCTGCTGCTGGGGAGGGTGTGGGCCCGAAGAGCGGCTGCGGGAGGAGCCCTGGGCCAGTCACTGCAGCAGCAGCAGCAGCGGTTGCTGCTGCTGCTGCTGCTGCGGGCGCGGCCGCGTGCTGCAGGTGGACGAGGAGGAGCAGCAAGCTGCTGCCAGCTGCTGCTGCTGCTGCTGCCAGCAGCAGCAAACCCCGCTGCAGCGTCCCCACCCGCCCCAGGGGCCCATCTGCATGCACTCCGCCCCACAGGGCCCCCAGGCCCTGAAAGACAAGAGCAGCAGCAGCACAGGCGTCGGGTTGCTGCTGCAGCAGCAGCAGCCACGGCAGCCAGCTGGCGGGCTCCGAGACTGCTGCTGCTGCTGTTGCTGCTGCTGCCGCGCCCGCTGCGTCGGCTGCTGCTGCGTCTGCTGCTGCTGCTGCTGCTGCGGCGGCGGCGGCGGCGGCGGCTTCTGCTGCAGCGGCTGCCGCTTGTGCTGCTGCTGCTGCTGTTGCTGCGTCATCTGCCCCGCTTGCTGCTGAAGCTTCTTCCGCAGCATCTGCTGCTGCCGCTGCTGCTGCAGCTCCGCTCTCTGCCGCCTCTGCTGCTGCTGCTTCACCTGCTTCTGCTGCTGCACTGGCGGCGCTGCGCGGCTGCCTTTCGGCCTCCTTCCGGAGCCGCTGCTGCTGCTGCTGCTGCTGCTGCTGCTGCTGCTGCTGCTGCTGCTGAAGACGGCGCTGCTGCTGCGCGTCAGAGCCCTTACTCTTGTGGCGCTGCTCTTCTTTGTGGAGGTCTTGCTGCTGCTCTTTGCTGCCAGCAGCAGCAGCTCCAGGGGGGTAGAGCGGGCTGGCCTGCTGCTGCTGCAGCAGCGGCTGCAGCTGCGTCAGCTGCTGCTGCTGCTGCTGCTGAGGCAGCAGCGAGACAAACGGCAGCAACTCGAAGCAGCAAAGAAGACTGTGTGCTGCTGAGGCGGCCAGCAGAAAGATGCTAACTCGAGCAGCACGGCAGATGCGGGCTTTTGTCCGGCTGCTGCTGCTGCTGCTGCTGCTGCTGCCGCTGCTGCTGCTTTGGATGCCCCCCTCAATTTCCATTTTCATTCAGTTCTAAACTGCTGCTGCTGCTCTCCCCTTGCTCCTGCTGCTGCTGCTGCCCCCCTCGCGTGCTGCTGCTGCGGGCGGCAGTTGGTACTTCGTCAACACAGCAGCAGCAAAGAACTGCAGCAGCAGCAGCAGCAGCAAGTGCTGTTGCTGAAGCAAGCGCTGCTGCAGGGGCTGCACACCCAGGAGCTGCAGGAGGAGCCCCCGCAGTTGTTTGTGTGGGGCCCCCCTGTGCTGCTGGGCTGCTGCTGCTGCAGCTGCTGTTCCTGTTGCTGCTGCTGCTGCTGCTGCTGGCCTTACAGGCAGCTGCAGGAAGTGAGTTGGGTGCGCTGTGCTGCTGAGTGCCCATGTGAGCGCCAGCGACTCGGCCTGCTGCTGCACAG